GCAAAACCAAAGGATATCATTATCGATAATATTGATTTACTTTAAATTGATACTCGATAACAGTCTCGATAATAGTCTGCTTATGGTCTATCATAGTATTTGTTCGAAGCAGCAGAAAACATAAATTCATAAATTCTAAAAGCCACTGACTAATGTTTTGCTTTGATGAAATTTCGTAAACAAATGATAACGAAAAAGGAGACCACGAAGTTTACAGCTATGTCTGCCTGAACTTTCGATCTGCTCTCTCTCTCTCCCTTACCTATTTCTTATATTATCTCTCATATTTTTGTAAGCAGAGCGATCGAAATGCCGTTGGCTTTTGCGTGGCCTTCCTTTTTGGTCACTGCAGTGCAGCTTCGGTCATTTAAGAATAAATAACTTTATTTTTAAGCAATTAAATTAATTAATTAATTAATTTTACTAATTAAAGGTGGCAAATTCATTGTCTTCCCCCAGACAGTATTCCTCTATAAAAGTAAATTAACTTTTCTTTTAAAAAATATTAAAAGGTTTATTTTTGGGTTTATTTTATGAACTTCTTTTGCATTTTTTGGCTTAAAATTGATTAAGGACTTTATTTTAATTGCTTTTTACTAGTGATAGTGATTTTTCTTTAAGTCAAAGTGTTTAATTTTGTTTCTTTAAATTTTAAATACAAATTTCCTATTAAGTTTTGTTTCATTTTCAAATTATTTTTAAGATATTTTAATGTTGGATAACTGTATTTGTTATCTAAGCTATCGATCGTTATCGTTTATCGGGAAAACCAAAAACCAGCGATATTGTCAACTATCGCTGGCATTGCAGCTTTTAAAAATCACAAATTTAAATCACTTTTTTAAATGCATTTTAAAGATTTTTTAGAGAATCTCTCAAAAAGGTTAAAACTAAACCTTTAATCTGTCATATTTCTAAAAAACAAACTATAGAAAGGGGAGAATATTAAAAAGATTATTACTTTAACTATTACAAAGGCTATTTGTTATATATTTTCTAAAATAATTATTTCCTTTTTTTCCCAAATTAAAATTAAAATTCAATAATTAACAGTCAGGTAGAAACCTCCCCAGGCGCCCCCTGACATGTTTTACACTCCTAAAAAACAGGCAACTTGAAGGGGGCAGAGAGAGAGACAAGCTGAGTGGATTACAAGTTCGCAACAAGCTGAAGACGCCACCCCCCCCCCCACCCACACAGCAGGCGGAGATCTATGTACTTTTTATGTCCCCAGTCTCAGTGGGTGGACGAAGCAAAGTTCGGAGTGAGGATGAGATGGCATTCCCAAGATGAAATTTCAGCAGTGGGGAGAGCCCCGGTCAGGTGGGAAATGCTGAAAAACAACAGTTGAAATTCCCATGGTACTAACTTTATTCTATTACGACTGAAAAACAAGAACAAGAGCGGAGGTTTTTCCTTCGGAAAAACAGAAACAAGAACAGCGAAAGCGAATAATTGAAAGTGAGAGGAGAACTCAAAGATTTTCCAAAACCTGGAGTTTGCAGAATGAAGGCTGCGGCTTCCATTGTCTGTCTTTGAAGTCTTTCTCTAGAACGACGACGACGACGATACGACTTTTTCAGCCAGCTGAGACTGTAGGTTTTTCCTACCCTATCCCCAACAATTTTCACCATTTTATAACTGCGCTAATCCAGCGCCACATTTATGGCATTGGGATTTGGAAACGGTCTTAGGAGTTGTGCGAGAATTAGCTGAGTTGCCTTCGCTTCTGGGCCATTAAAATGATTTAAATTAGTAAGGGAGGTGAAAAGGGGGTTAGGTGGCCTGTTATAGGGCCTTGTATGTAAATGAAGTCTTAACTGTGGCTAAGAACCAATGCCAAGGGAGTTGGTTAGACAACAACAGCTGCCAATGGGGAGTCAAAGTCCCAGGGGATCTAAGGGTAATGCTCGATTTAGTTTTTGTCCAAGGCAAAAGTTAAGTTAACTTTTAATCAATTCTGTTTGCTTATTGAATTTATTGAAGTTAAATTTTAGAAATTAATTAATTTGGTTTTGGTTTAAGCTGGAAGTGTGAGGGGTTTAGGTCTTGGAAAGGGTTTAATGTGGGTTTATGTCTAAGATAAAGACAAACTTTTATAAATTCTTTTCCTTAAAAAATAGCAAACTTATCAGCACGTCTTTGGGTTATTAAAAACTATAAAAATTTAGAATATTTAAGACTTTTTAACTGCTTTGATCTTCTACTTAAATATCATCCTAAACCTTTACCTCTTCACCTTTTTAATGCCTTTATTAAGCTAATTTTGAGTTTCCAAAATTCCAAATTTCCCCTAACAAGACCCTCCACTTTCTAACCCACTTCACTGACTTAACAAGCTCTCAGCTAATTTCAGCTATAAACTCATTTAGATAACACCCCTTTGAGTCTGTTAATAACACTGGCCAAGACAGGTCACAGGTCACAGTTACGAAGTGGCAAAGCCGGAAAATAATAATAATTGCCAGAACAATGAAAGGCGGAAACTTTGGCTAATAGAAAATGCAAACAACATATTAAACAATTAAACGGAAATTAGCACAAAATATTCACGCACCAAGCAGGATATAAAACGAGTAGAAGATCCGGGAAAACTCCTGGCCTGAAGTGGGTTCATTAATAAGCGACTCTAGACAAACGGACGGATGGAATTGAAAGTGAACGGAAATGAATGCAGTGGCCAGAATGAATGTATGGAGAATATGGTAAGAGAGAATCCTCCTTGCCAGTGACTGCTAATGAAGCTGAGCTGGAGCTCAGCGACCAGGTGAAGGCGTGGGGGCGAAAGACAACTCTAAACGGAAACCGGACGTTGGGTGGGGGTGGGGGAGTGTTTTGGGGATTTAGCTATAGCCTCTTTTCCACTCTCCCCCTTGAAAGAACCAAAGAGACAAAGGGGAGGGAATTTGGCCAACTTAAATATGCAAGACAGCGCTCGGCTGGGCGCCAAATGTGCCACCCCCAGCTCTCAGCTTCCCAGCTCCAAACACGTCGGCCTCCATGCCCCATGACCCCCAAACCAGAAGCTTTGGCCCAAACCTCAAACCCAACCCTCTGAGAACTTTAGCGCCAGCTGTGCCGACAACAGCGCCAAGAACTGACTCACATTCACACTTTTCAAAGACTGAGAGAAACTTATAAAACTTGTAAGGAAATTTGTTAGGAAAATGTGTTAGGAAAACTTAAAATTCTTTAAAAATTTGGTCTTCATAGTTAGATTATCATTTTAGTATATTGAAAAAATGATGAAAAGATAGTCTAGTTAACCCATGTAACCAATTTTTACCCTTAACTTTACCTTACTTCCATTACCAAGTCAAGTTCCCCTTAGATTAACCCCCCTTTTTCTCTCACTGCACCACTCTACATTGGCCACGCTTTAGAGCAGCATAAACTTACAACACTTTTACCTCATCATCAAGGACTTGAACTTAAGGAAATTGATTTTATGCAACGTTTAGAAGAGCAGCAAGGAAATAGAATGTGGCAGAAAATAAAAAAAGGGAAAAACGAGAACGAGAACGAGGACTACGACCAGACGTTTTGTATGCTAAACCGCAAAGAAAAATGGTGGCTGTGTTGAGAATGGGAAAAGTGACATAAATAAAATCCGTGACTATAAATCTAAGGCATAAGCGTTTAAAGAGTCAGCCAAAAGACGCGGCACGTAGCTTCCTTCTTGCAACCCAAACAGCCCTAACCCTAACCCATCCCTCCTCAAACCCCAACCTTTTCTTTAGAGAATCCTCCGCCATCAGGAGTCACAGAGAGATGAATCCTGCCGAGGGCAGATAAATATATGTAAATAGATACAACGCGGATTATGCTTTGGACAACAATGCAATGGATATGCATAAAATATTGGATGCTGTTTTGGGAGTTTTTGCAAGGATGAGGAAGGGATTTTAAGGTTGAAGGTGGTAAGAAGAGTTAAGTTTTTAAGAGATTTTAAACATATTTCTCATTAAATCAAAGTAAATAACCTTCAACTAATTAAAACTTATGTTAAATAGACTCTTGGCTCTAAGTTTTTCAATCAACAAGTCTCTGATTTTCCCCTCTTTTCCTAGTGTCAATTGCCTTTGGCTGTTCATAAACTTGTTTTGCCCTTCTCTGGCAGAAGGTATTTACTACCCTTCTAGCATAAAGCATAACCCCCACCTGTAACCCCTGTTTTTATGACCCACCCCACCTGTTTACAAATCAACAATAAAATATAAAAATCAATCGAAGGCAGAAAAGCAGGGCAGTGAAGGAGAAATGTTCTCTTACAAAAAAATATGTTGCATACCCAAAAGGCGCCTTTTGGGGTTTTTATTTTAAATAATTTTTTAAGTTTGTTAAAAAAAGGTTGTCTAATCAGCATAATCAGGTATATATATATACATTTTCTATATTTAGTGATTATGCCAAGTGCTTAACAAAATCACAAATCAGATTTAAGAAATTCCTCTTACCATTATGGTCAATAATATCATTTTCTAGGCTCAAAAATGCTTCCTTTTTGGCTTACTAATTTCACTTTTCTAAATATAAAAACAACACTTTAACCCCCGCACAAGTAAGGGATATCAAAACAAAAACAAACTCCCCGAGAGAAGGGGCTATGATATAAAGATTCAATAGAAAGGCTTCGATAGGTAAAAAAATGTACAATTTTTATGGGCCCGCAAGGGTCACATTAACAGCCATGTTAAGCAACACGCAAAACAAGGGGGATAAGGGCAATGGTAAAAGAGGGGTTGGGTGGCTTTTGGATTGATTTCGACTTGGCTTGGGCTTTTGCCTTCTTGGCCAGAGAAAGGGGTTGGTAGGTTGGTTGGAAAATCCTTTTTCGCACGGCTTGACTTCGGTTGGCAATGCGGCCCTCGACTGGCATTTTAATAGACTGTTGACTATTCGCGCTGTTTACCGAGTGTCTGGTTCAGGGAAAACCCCTTTAACTACGACTACTGATGCTCTAACTTTAACTATTTAAAGTTATTTTTATAACATATTTCTATAAAAGTTGCATTTAATGTTATATAAATGAAAGTTAATGGCCAAAATAGCTTTTTTGGTGTGTTGAATATGGAATTTGAAATACTTAAACTTTACACAAAAATTTAACATTTCGTTTTAGCAGAGCACAAATCATGATGCAGTTAAGTCTGCTTTTTGTTCTCTCTAAGTTGGGTGGTGATTTCTTACTTCATTCTTCCTTTCAGCGCAACCTTGCCATCGCCAGGAAGATCATCTATGGCCGCTGGCTCTTCCATAATGATTAAAGTTTCTCGAGATGGCCCATCTCCGGCAGCAGCAGGATCAGCAGAAGCATTCCCCATCTTCTTACTAGCCTTGCCTGTACTCCACCAGAAACCATCTTGATACTTCATCTCCTTGGCCTTCTGAACCAAGTCAAGACATTTGTCTTTGGCCCCATCGGCCAGATCTTCCGAATAGTTGGGTATATTCCGGATAATATGGAAGGTACCCTTGATCCCCTGGTTATAGTATTCCCTGGCCAGTTCACCCATGCTCATATCCATCTGCTCGTTGGGCAAGACACGTCGCAAGAGTACGGTCAATGGATTGAGACCCTGCTGAAGCAGACGATCCGTTTCCTCTGTCTTGCCCCAAACTCCAACGCGATTGGTCAGGTAGATCGTCATTGATACGGCCACCGTTCTTACCACCAAAGTGGTGAGCATTATTCTTGCTTATTAATTTAAGATTAGAAGTTATAAAAAAAAAAAGGAAAAACGCAAAATTGCGATTGGTCAGGGAAATCTATTTGAATTTTTTGTTATTGTTAAAAAGTAAAACGAAAAATCAGGAAAATGAATGCTCGATTTTTGTGCTCACACTAAACACACACCACGTACTGCTAGGCTTTTTCAAGTTGCTTAAATGAAATCAAATTCTAGACTTACTTTGATGGCAAGATATAGAATTAGATTCTAGCTGAGTGGAAAAGCAAAGTTCTGTCTAAAAATCAAGGCTTGGAAAATGTAAAACTAAGAAAAGGCTTCATTTTATGGGACTTTAAGGCAGCTTTCCCTTTGCCCCACCCTCCAGCCATTTTCCCAGCTTCCATCTAGCTAAGTTCTTAGGTAAGTTTGTTCCTTGCATCCCTTCATCAACGGCGTGATATCCTTTTTTTGAGGGCTATAAAAAACCAACACACTATCAGCCAGCGCTGGAAACCCAAAACAAGTGAGTAAAAATCTAATCCATTACTCAAACCAGCAAACTGAAAAAGTAATGGTATTGCCCGGAAGGAGAAGGGGGAGGAGGAGGAGGAGGAGGTGGTCGGGGAGGGGAAGGAGAAGGATGAGGAGAAGGCATTGAGTCCTGAAAGCCGAGGCTATGGCGTTGAGGTTTCGATGGTGTAAATCTTTTGTAACATTTCGGTGTCCCCTTTCTTTTTTTTTGTGGGTTTGATGTGCTCTTGATACCCCTTTGATTTCGAGGGGTTAAAGGGTATGTTGGGTTTGTGAGATGTTAGAAAATTTTTAAGATTTTTTAAAGTCAACTTAAAGACATAAATTTAAGAACTAGAACTAGCTAGTTAGACAAAATTAAGAAGTTAAATTGTTTTCTTATTAAAAATCAAAAAAAGTTCTTACACATACCTCGTAAAACCTCAAAAAAAGTTCTTAATTTAGTTAAGAAAAACTTTAACCCAATTTATTAGCTTATTTCCAAACTCAGCTCAGCTAAAAGTTTCTCTTAGGTAGGCAACTTAGTCTATAAACGAATAATAGGTAGCAGTTAGTCTATACACTATATATATAAACAGTTTTTTAGAAGGGACATCCCACCACGACGTGTGTGGTGAAGCTACGTGAATGGAAATAAAACTGCAATTTGGCCCGGCACTTGGTGACCAGTTGAATGTCACTCGGGCGAGTCAAAGGCGAGACGAATCCTTGGGTCCTGTTTGAAGGAACTTTGACATACGCCAAAGGACCAGGTCTTCTTCTTCATCTTCTTCTTCTTCTTCTTCTCTTCTGTTTTTTTTTTAATTTGCACAACTTTTGACCCAAATTCATTTGTCACAGAATGGAGGCAGCCAAGCAGCAAAGGACCAAATTCTTAGCCCCCAGGCGTGAGTCTGACAACTTTCTATAAATAAATAATAGAGTGTGTACTGTACTGTATGGCATAGCAAGGTGATGTTGGTGGCCAAAGGGTCCTTGGGTCAGGCTAGCCAGGGATATGGTCCATTCATTGGCAGAGTCATAAAGCCGGGAATAAATGGCTCCTGCGTGGCTTGCGAGGTGCAAGGCATGGAATTGCCATCAGCATGGGTTAAGGCCTCTCTCTCTCCCTCTCTCTCTCCTTCTCTGGTAGCGTGAATTTGTTTTGTATTTTTATTGGTTGCAAGATAACATAGTGGAATCTGTTTGCAACATGCTAGATAAGAGGAATATTTAATGGGTTTTCTTAAAGAAATCGCTGAATTTGATGGCAATTTAAGGGAATCTTTTCAGCTTTGCCGTTGCAGTAAAAACTTTCCAAGTAGAAAGATAGAAAAGCCAACTCTTTAGCATTTCCAACTCGAAAACGTGACTTTTATTTCAGATCCTAATGAGCTGGCTACTATTTCTTTAACCTTTTCCACCCACAACTATTTCCCAACCGAGAGCATTCCCGCTTAATAGCCGGAAATTAAATCAAGATTTGCGGGCTTAACTTTTGGGGCAGCCCAAAAAAACGTAAACGGATATGGAGACAGCAGCTTTCATTTGCATATTTTGCACGGCTCCTAACTCTCATTTAAAATTTTATTCATACCCTTTGGTTCTCGCTTGGTTTTCCATGCCCAAACCCAAACCCCATTTGACCATGAAAATGAAAATATGTTCGAGCTTTTTTTTCTGGCTAGGTCAGGCCAAGAAAAATGTGGCAGTCATGTGAGCAGAGTTTATGTCTGCTGGATCTGTGGATCTGTGGAAAAGCGCAAGTGTAATTAGTGTGAGGCTTAAACGGGGCTAAGCCAACAAACATTTTCAAAACAGAGTGTCCAAAAAAAAAAAAGAAAATTAAACAAAAATGAAGCTTTGGAAGCAGACCTGTTTGGCCCTGGAATGTTCTATGTTTTTTGCTCATACTCAGCTAGGCAGTAGAGAAGTTTGGGAAGTCTCTTAAAAAATTTGTTAGGTTTAACAGGGTTTTAAGTTTACTTTTTTGGCAAAAGGTTTTGCAAATATTCAGGATTAGTTAAAGAGTTTTTCAGGATTTTTTTTACATTTTTTTTTAAAGTTTTTTCTTATAACTTAAAGTTTATCTGGAAAGACTTAAATTTCTATGGATTTAAAGTTTATCAGAAAGAGTTTTTATCATATTTTAGCCATCTTTCTAACTTTAACTTAACAAATTAACTTTTATTTCATTATTTTTCTTAAAAATATTTCATAAATATTCCCTAGTTCTAAGCCCACATCCAGCATTCTAGATTTAAAGGCTGTGTCTAGCCTTCTCTATAGTTTATTTTTCTTGTTTTTTGTCAACTCTTTTTCGGGGTCCAAAGGGGTCCACCCCCCTGGCTTTGCAACTATTACGAAATGGCATTTGAATAGCCATCGTCGTCGTCGTCGTCGAGGTTTTTATTTTTGCCACCATCAGAGACCCCGTTGAATGCAACTGGAATGAAACTGGAACTGTCTCTGTGGCTGATAAATCGTCCGGTGCATTATTTACAGTCCGCTCTGCTTGGCTTGGTTACTTTTTTTTTTTATTATTTTTATGGCTGGCACCTATGACGTATACGTGATATTTGGTATGCAGTATGAGGCATGTGGCATGCTGGGACACCGAGACTTTGTTTATTCTTTAATTTAGTGGGCAAACCGCACATAACAAACAGCAATCAGAGAAGGCAACTATAAATGGCCTTGCCAAGTGCCAAGAGTGGAGGGAATTATGATCGGCATATAAAAAAATTTTTTTTTAGAGTATTAAAAAGGCAAAGTCTTAGGCGAGGAGCTGGGGGTTTTTATAGACTGGCAGATGGAATGGAAATTGTAGAGAAAAGAAGGTCAAATTGTGGACTTGAAAAGGGGGGAAAGACCTTAAGTCTGCTTTTTAAAGAAGAAAATCAAATATTTAGCTTGATTTTTTATTGGTTTTAACAATTATTATCTCTGAGATTTAAGAGGAGAGAAAGCTGCTCTAATTGCTTAGGCAAATTATGTTAAAAATATTAAAATATATTTTATAATAAGATTGAATTTGGTTAAGAAAGTTTCTTGAAGAGGATGAAGAAGGAGTTTAACGACTGTCATTATCAATGTCTCAGATATTTAGCAGAAGGTTTGAGGTTTACAAAATGGTTAAGTTTTCCATCTCTAGATGGTTTATTTTTCTTCTTAAAATAAAATTAATAAATTAATAAACAATGAAAAAGAAATCTTAAACTCTTTTTCCCTTTCCCCTATAATTCCTTTGCCAACAACCAATCTATTCCCAGATTGACAACCTATTTAAGCCTTAATTGAGTGAGTTATTACTGGCCAATATAGTCGTATACAAACTGAACTTTATCAATATGCTTTTTAAAACAGAAAAGAGGCAACAATGCATTGAAATATTGGCCCAATGGGCATCAGTCAATCGTTAAATGAAGACCTGACAGTCATAAAAAAGACATCCATCAGGCGTGTTTAAACGATTGCCATTAACGATCATCATCATCATTATCATCATCATCATGATGATTAAGAAATCGAGGGGGTGGGATCTGTTGACTATATCTTCTTTATGGTTCTGTCATGGTCGTTGCATCGCATTGCATCTCCTTTCACTCTTTTCCCTCTTCATCTGGCAATTTTATGGCAAAACTTCCGGTAATCAAGGCGTTGCGAGAACAGCTGTTGTTTTGCTATTGCCTTTTCCATTGAAAACACCTTTGGAAAACCATAATAAAAATAAAAACAAAAAAAAACAGAAGGCGTGAATGGGTGGTGCATTGGACCCCATTCAAAAGTGGCCTTGATGCCATCACCATAACCAACGCGAATCCCAGAAACAATGAGGCCTCAAATTCTATCTTGAGATATAGCTATATAGATATAGATATATAGATATATATATCGTTAAGAGTGCTGATGGAAATCAGAAATAGTACCAAGTGACCATGGCAAGGCACTGCCAGACCGTATGAAGGGAGCCTCTCGGGAAAACTGAGAGGCTGGGCGGAAAATACAGGAGCAAAGTCTTTTGATTTATGCGCAGCAATTAATTTTTTGCACATTTTTGCCGCTGCTGCTGCTGTTGCTGCTTCTGCTGCTGCTGCTACTCCTGCCATGGATGTTACCATGGGGAAGCTTCTACTGCCTCGGCTGCTGCTCTGCGGATGATTTTGGTGTTGCTGTTGCTGACGACACCGACACGGACACGAACACGGACACGGACACGGAACTATGTAACAGGCGACAAAGCATGAGAGGCACAGTGTGCTCAAAACTCTTGAAAATTGGTAAGTCATATATTTATTTTTTTTGGATATCCAAAAAATATCTGATTCGGGAAAGATTGATAGCATAGATATCACTAATAGTTAATCAACATTAAAATATCTTAAAAATAATTTGAAAATTAAACAAAACTTTAAAGGAAATTTGTATTTAACATTTAAAGAAACAAAATTGAACACTTTCCATTAAAGAATAATCAGTATCACTAGTAAAAAGCAATTTAAATAAAGTCATGATCAATTTTGACCCAAAAAATGCAAAAGAAGTTCATAAAATAAACCCAAAAATAAACCTTTTAATATTTTTTAAAAGAAAACTTAATTTACTTTTATAGAGCAATACTTTCTGGGGAAAGACAACGAATTTGCCACCCTTAATTAGTAAAATGAATTAATTTATTAATTTAATTGCTTAAAAATAAAGTTATTTATTCTTAAATGATCGAAGCTGCACAGCAGTGAACAAAAAGGAAGGCCAGGCAAAAGCTAACGGCATTTCGATCGCTCTGCTTACAAAAATTTAAGAGATAGGTAAGGGAGAGAGAGAGAGAGCAGATCGAAAGTTCAGGCAGACATAACTGTAAACTTCGTGGTCTTCTTTTTCGTTATCATTTGTTTACGAAATTTTATCAAAGCAAGACCTTAGGCAGTGGCTTTTAGAATTTATGAATTTATGTTTTCTGCTGCTCTGAAAAATATTATTGGTATGTATTTTAAGCTAAACTTAAAT